ATCAATAGTCTCGACAACATTTGATTCCAAATTTTATTATGTATATATATACAATAACTAATGTAAAACAATAAAAAAATTTTTGTCATGTGATTCAAACTATGTTAGATTTTAAAATAAAATTTATTAAATTAAAAAATTTCTAATATCAAATTTTCACATATTGTGTGTAGGTTAATATAATTTGAATTATACTAGGTTTTTTTTATTTAGATGTAATATCATATACTGTACCCCTAAAACATTAGTGTAATAACTAACCTTTTTAACTCGCTGTACAGGTGATTGAGATTTTTTTTTTCTATTTTAAAAAGAAAGAAAAAAATACTGGTAAGAATAGATAATGAAAAAATATATATAAAAAAAAAGGTTGCCTTAATTGTTCACACTGTTTAGTAGTAATGTTTATTATCATTATTATTATTATAATTAAGAATGCATTAAATAAAACAGAAGGTACACTTGTTGCGTAGGTAGACAGTTCAACAACGATCAACAAAATATAGGGTTAAGGCCATCTATCGTCCCTCTACTATCCAAAATAGTGCATTCTAAACCTTCTACTATGGATTGGCTTCATGTCGTCCCTTTACTATCAATTAACTCTACCTGTCATCCCTCTACAATGCAAAAGCATGCACTTGTCGTCCCTCCGTCCAATTAAACTGATGGTTCTGTTTATTGACCGTTAAGTGCAAACGGTCACACCTAGTTAGGCCTTTTTTTTTTATTTTTTTTTTTTTGCCACCTTGTCTTGTGGGCCCATCATCATCTTCATCATCATAACCATCACCACAATCTGTCTCTGCTTCTATCTCCACTTCCACAACCCCGACGACGACGTCGTCGCCCACCACCACTCTCGCCCTGATCAAACCTTCACCTTGGATCCCATTCCCTACTGGTCCCATGAATTCCATTTCTTCTCCTCTGATCCCGATGAATTCTCATTTCCGAATGCGCTCGTCGTCGACAACGGCCTTGATCTCCTTGATGACCGGGGGAACCAAGTCAATTTCGTCATCGATCTCCCGCCCCAGCGCGTCGAGCAATCCTAGGTATTGATTTGGTCTATTTCCGATGGTACCACTAGCAATCAAAACAATAACCTGTTGATTTGGTCCCCGATGCATTAACTGATCTGGGTTTCGATGTTATTGATGGAACCCATGAATTGGATATGGATGATTTGGAGTTAGATTTAGGGTTTGGTTCTGTAGAGACACACTATGGTAATTCTGTTTTTGTTGTTGAAACTATTGGTGGCAGTGATGTTGATGTAGATGTTGGTGGTGATGATGATGATTTCCCTCTGGAGAGGAGGGTTGAGAGGAGGGTTTCAGGTTTGGCTTCCAACGGGGCTGCCTCCACTGTTGGTGGGGTTGAAGTCAAACTTGAACCCCACAGGGAAAGTGTTAGGCTGGTTCGCTTTGAGTCAAATTCAGAGGACGATGACAATGGGGCTTTGGTTGTAGATTTGAATTCAGGTGATGAGTATGGTATGGATCATGTTGATGGTTATGATGAGGATGAGACACTGAGAGATATAGTAGGTTTTTGCTTCTTCTTTTTTTCTTTTTTTTTTTTCAATTTCTTTGTGACAGTTTTCCCTTTCTTTATATTCTGTTTGATTTTAAATGAAATGTTGGCTTTTTTTTTTAGAAAGAAAATTGCAAAGAATGATTAGGGAATCCATTAATTTTGAATGAAATATTTTGCATCTACACAAATAATGACTAGTGCTCTATTCGGATAAATTTGAAATTTTGGTGACTTCTCAAATGAATAGAAATGGGTTAAATAAAAATATGAATTTATCATTTTTTTTATTGAAATAAATTTTTTGAAATTTTAAATTAAACAAAAAAAAAATTAATCCCTACTGAATATGTCAATAAACTATACATCTGATTATCTTACGACATTACTTAAAATTTTCTTGATTTTTGAAGTATATAATAGTAAATTTTCACTTTTTTAATTTAAATACATAAATATTATTTTCTTTTGATTAAAATTATTATTTGTTAAGTTATCATTATTTTTTAATAAATCTTTAAAAAAAATAAAAAAATTGTAAAATTTTATATTATCATTTGAAAAAAAAAAGAAATT